GAAGATTTGATTTTAGATTTAGAATCTTCTTTTTTTTTAAAAAAAAATGTGAAAAAAAATTGTTTTTATGAACCTATTTTACATATCAGCCATCAACAAATCTGTTTATATTTAGTTTTCAATTGTTTACATTTTCTACACATAAAGTATCAAGACACAAAGTCAAATTTTCATTTTAAAAATAAATTCTTGTGCATCTCATGGGCCACCTATTAATTAAGATTAAAATTAACAATTTTAAGATACTTATCAATTTTTTAAGGTGGCACTCAGAAGTAATTGACGAAAATTTGAATAAAATAATAAAATTGAAACTAGACTTAAAAAAGTGTGAGAATCAAATTATTTAATTTGAAACTTTAAAAACTAAAATAAAATTTAGATCAAATTATTAGAGTGAAATGTATAATTGACTCTTTTTATTTTAGTAAATTATTTTCAATTTTTCTTTTTGCAGGCTTCTATTAAGAATCTAAAAAGTCTAAAAAAAGATTACAAGTAAAGCCCAAGGGTGAAACTTTTAGCAACCTAAATTTATTTATGTAAAAATTGCAAAATAGATTTTTATTTATGTAACGGGGAAAACTAAAAGTATTAAAAAAATTAAAGAATTAAATTAACACAAATAAATTAAATTTTATTGATTTTAGGCTACAATTAAATATTTTTCTTGAAAATCAAGCACAAAAGGTTTTAGTGATTTGTCAAAAGTTTTATTCAAAAAATTCAAACAATAATAAAAAAAATTAAATTATTTATATTTTAGCAAAATAAATTTATATCATTTTTCATTTGCAAAAGTCCTAAAGAAAGATAAACGAAGAAGATTGGGGTGAGCATTCGTCCGGTCAGGTTGACCGGACTGGGTCGATACTACATAATACTCTCACCGTTTTAAAATAATAGTTTCTTTTGAAGAATTTAAATTTTTTTTATAGTAAAATTATTGTACTTTTAAAAAATTAATTTTTCAAAATTACCCTTTGATAGTATATTTTTTGAGAATATCAATTGTGATAACTGTACTTTTTGTGTTGTTAATGAATTTTAAAATATTGCAAAATAAGAAATTCATATTATTTTAGTCCTTAATTTTTGAAAATGAACTAATATTTTGGAGTAATGAAAAATAGAATAAGGGACTAATATTTTGGGACGGATGGAGCAAAAGATTTTGTGTTTGTCCAAGTCCCGCCTGACTCTAATATCGGGACTCTACATCTATCCAAATTTGGCCGAAAAATAATTATAAATTTCAAGCTCACCATCGGACTATATGTTTAAAAAAAAATAAAATACTCTATAATTAAATTTAATCATACATTATATTTCTTAAATAAATATACTAATATCATTATAAATTGAAGAATTTTGTATATAAATTGAAGAATTTCTTAAATAAATTTAATCAAATATCACCACAAATATAAGTTTCAATAAAATTAACAAAGTCTAAATCCTAACAAAGAATATATTTTTTAATTTATTAAAATTTATTTATTTATTTAATAGCGGACCTGGCCGAGCAAAGCAAGGTTGAAAATATAAATTCCAAACTCAACCCATTAATATATTGGACTAAAAATATTGGTTCACCTGGATCATATGAGCTAAAGCAACCTTTCCAAACCTTTAAAAAAAATAAGGTCAGGTCAGCCAACAAGTCGATGCCCATTCCTAGGTTAGAATCCTATTATCATAATGGGTTTTTGTTATAACCCAAACTTAACACCCGAAGGTTCAGCGTCGCAATAAGACAATAACTGAAGTCATAACAAATTAATAGTGCAATGTAGTAAAATAAAAAGGTACCACCACTACGCCAAAATTGGGCTTTAGCGGCGGTTTTTTACCGCCGTTAAAGGCTTTAACGGCGGTTTTGTTACCGCCGTTTATGCGCGTGTCGGAAAAAGTACAACCGTCGTAAAAAGGTAAATTACCGTCGTTAAAAGTCGACCAAAAATGGCGGTAACATAGGATCAAAAACGGCGGTTTTTTACCGCCGTAAATAGGTTCAAATTTTTCAAAAAATAATTATTTCTTCTTGCACTTCCCAAGTCTTGGGACCTCAACCTCTCATCCACCCACACTAACCACTCTACCATAGCCACTCTTCATGAAATATATTCCCTAAATAAATATTTAAACATTATTTTTACTTTATTGTAGATGGTTTCACCGGAGCTCGCCGGAGTTTTGCCGGAGCACGCCGGAGTTTCATCGGAGTTTCGCCGGCAAAGACCACCGTTATTAACAGCGGTAATGATTGGGCATTAGCGGCGGTTTTGTTACCGCCGTTAAAAGTGGGTATTAACGGCGATTTTTTTAACGGTGGTAACAAAATCGCCGTTAATGATACTTTTAACGACGGTTTTCGTTACCGCTGTTAATAGTACCTTTAACGACGGTTTTCGTTACCGCCGTTAAAAAAACCGCCGTTAATACCCTGTTTTGGCGTAGTGCACCAACTTTATTTAATTATAACAAAAATATATACATTGAAGCTTCTATTCATTTACATTGCCAAAGCTAAACTATGACTACAAAGTGCCTTGTGTCTACCTCACACATTGGTCTTGACACATCACTTAAAAGTGGTTAACAACTATAAGCATATGGTAGAGTGAAAAATATTATACTGAAAGCATAATGATATAAAATCACCATGAATAATTATTTGACTAAACAAGCTTAGTTTGATATTAAAATACAAAGTATATAATACGAAAATCTTTTTGAATAACAAACATATAATACAAAATCATATAAATAAAATAATCATAATCACGGTACAGAACAAATGTATGGATTAAAAAAGTAGCTTGTACGAATTCTAGATGTGACTCCCACAAAAGTGGAGCTAACACAAAAGTGTAGCACTTAGCGCCGCACAACACTTTGCTTCATACCAGAAATTAGAGGGTCAATGGATCCATAACAACAGAGAGTCACATAAAGTGACAATACAGAGGGCCAATGGTTATTTAAGTTGCCCAAGGTATGAAACTTCCATGGTAGTATTTACAAAAATAATTGTGCAAAACACATTTAATAAACTGTTATATTTATGTGTTTCTTTTTTTAAGCAAATAAGGTTATTTAACAAATAATAAACTTTTAAAAATTAATATGATTGGCAAAACAGATTTTGCATAAAACAGTTTGTGATAATTCAAAATATAATATAATTCACCTTAAATTTGATATTTTACTCTCACTTTTGATTTCAGTTCACTCTCTCAGATTTCGTTTATTTGTTATTCTTGTGATTTCATTATCATGCAACTCACTCATTTATAGATGAAAAGACCGTTACCATGCAATACAATGCTGCGCTATGCAGTACTGTGCAGCACATGTGTTGAAACCACATGGCTCACCATGCGAACCATAAGGTTTTTAGAGTATATCTACTATGACCTAAAAAATGTTGGAATTACATTTTTTTTTTCCAAAGATTAAATACATATATTTTGGGGTGTCAGAATTTTGATAATATTTTATTTAAGATGAAATCCTTGTATTAGGTATTAATCACAGTTTAGTTTTAAATTTCAAAAATAATTTTTGAACTTTCAATTGTATTTTTTGTTTTTGGTTAATCTCTAAAATATTTTAGTCAAATTTTTTTAGATGAATCTAATCTATAAAAGTAAAATATGTTTGAAGTTTTTTTAAAAAATAAAAAAATAATAAATAAATAACTAATACGAAAATGTATTAAATTTTTGTCCTTTTTTTTTTTCTATACATCTAGTATTTAGTGATTATTTTAATTATTTTTTCACAAATTTTGTACTGTTTAAGTGTATATAAGTTAAGTGAATCTGAAGAATTAAAAATTAATTAAAATATTCAAAAAGATTACTAAAAATAAAAATTTACTAATTAAAACATCAAAAAATATTTTTGAAAATTCCAAAGTCAACAGAATGAATAATTTTTCATTAAAAGGTTGATTATTTAAATCACGTTAGCCTTTACTGGAAATATGTATTAGGCCCTGCTAGTATCTTAATTTTGCCCACCTGCCACGATGTTGCAAGTCATATTGCTTGTTTGATTCCATCAATACTATGATGTTCATTTTGGTAATCACATCTCATGATTCTAGTACTTTATTTTATGCTTCAACCTTTTGCTTTGATGTTTTTTAACAAGAAAATGGACGGTAATTCAAAAGTTCCATGAACAATTGGAATTTAATTCAAATTAATCATGAAAAATAGACACATTCTGGAAACGTAGCCCAAAAACAATAATAATTTTACACAGCCAACCATATAAATATACAAGTGAAACAATTTCAGTGGAGCACTATCTTTACTGGTTGGTTCCACTGATCGATATAAATAAGAAGCGTGTAGATCCTAATAGTTAACTTATTATCCAATGGGTCCGGTGAGAATTAATGATATTTTCCATCAAATATTATTAAAAGAAACATCACTTTGTTAATTTTCAATGATAGTTTGAAAATTATCACAAAAAATATCACTAATTATAAGTTTTAGCGACAATTTTAAAAATCGTCATAAAAAAAATCACTAAATTTCAACTTTCACTAACAGTTTGAAAAATTTGTCATAAAAAAATCACTAATTGTATGTTTTAACAACAATTTATAAAAACCATGACAAAAACAAGTCACTAATAGTCAATTTTTAATGACGTGTAAAAAATCGTCAAAAAAATTTATTTTAGCGACGATTTTACTAGAACTTGTTTTCAATAAAATTTTATGAAAATTAAGTCCAACTATTAGGATCTATTAATAATTTACCAACACCAATATTTTATTGATTGGTTTTATGTCAAATAATTATTGGTCCAAATTTTGTCCATTGAAACATTTAAGTGGAGCACCATCTTTACCAGCTGGTTCCATCGATCGATATAAATAACACCACTATTTTTATTGATTAGTTTTGTGTCAAATAATTATTGGTCCAAATTTTGTCGATTGAAACTTTTGAATTCTAGATAGCAAGAAAAGGAAAGTAAAAACAGAGGTTAAAAAAATTTTAAAACAGAAACAATGGTTGATAGCCAATAATACATTCACTACCCTATACCTCTAACCATTAACCAAGGATTCCACATGAAAAAACACTCGATACACTTGGGTGATTATCGAACCAAGATTCAACTAAACCATGTATAAAAGTTATGCCTGTCCTGAAGAACTGAGTTCATACCACTTCTACTAAGCAAATAAGATTAGAAAACATTGTTTGTAATATGAAATGCAACAAGTCGCAGGTGAAGCAATCAGCTGACCAAAGGGTTGACAACAAGCAATCCAACCAGAAGTATTGCAATGCCCCAAAAGCCATCCTAAACATCCAAAATGGCAGCCAAAAATAAAGTATTAGATGCGTGAATAGAACCAAAGTACAATACAGAACAGCATATAACAGAGAAAAGAATGCGAATGAAATAATCTAGTCACCTGTACTATTGAGTAGTCAAAGTTGCCTGAAGGAACACCTGCAGTAGAGCAGTTGGCACTGGCTTAAAAAGGGCGAAGACAGAAAGCTGCACATCATATGATGTAGAATGAAAAATGTAGCCTCAATCATATGAAGAGAAGTCAGAGCATAAGAACCTAAATTTAAACCAAGAGGAGTAATAAGACTATGGAAGAGATGAACATTCTGTGAGCTGTAGGAAATGATACCAGCAATTTTTAAGAAACAGGGTGAAAAAGAAATTGTAAAGCAATAATAAGCATGAATGATTCAGCACCAACTACTAAAGTTCTACTAAGTTTTAAGGAACACTTACAATACTCTGATCAAAACCAGCAGGGCATGTAGGGCACCTGAATTGTGTGCTAGAGAACGAATTTCCTCCGGATCCATTTGCAATTGTAGTGTCGGATGTGTTTGATGTACCAAAAGGGCAATAATTGGAATGAACGAAAAAGTACTGTCCAAATACAGCAGTTGATTGCCCAAAGAAGGGTGCAATTGACTGAGACAACAGGGATTGGGCAGAGACTGATCCACATAGTAGAGGTGACACACTGTTCAGTGGAACTGAACCAAATGTAGATGAGATAGATGAGTTGGGTACACCAAGAAGAGATGGAGAGCTATTAGCTCCAAATCTAGGGATTGAGGGCTGTTCCAAATATAGGTTGGAATTTGGAAAGATGTTCCAGAACAGTTTGCAGAGAATGACAAACAAGAACAAAAGACAGAAACCGATGATCACAATATAGCTATAGGTGAGCTTGATGCACCAAAAGGAGGTTGAGAGCTATTAGACCCTAACCTAGAAGCTGATGTTATTCAAAATACTAGGTATAAATGATGATATAGTCCCAAAAGGTCATGCAAACACCACACCAATGCCTTAAGAGCCAAAGGCTGTCATAGGAGTAAATGGATTGGATTTGGAAGTGGTTGAGGAGGAGGAGGGATTTGCAGATGACTGGGCAAAAGGACTTGCAAAGGATGGTGCCGCAAAAACTGATGAAATGAGCCCAGGTGTGGTTGATACGAAGGATGGTGTTTGGGAAGCAAATAAATTGGAAGAGGTGGAGGAGAAGGGACTTGAACCTTGTTGACCAGATAAATATGAAGCACTTGAGCAGTTAGGTTGTGTTGCAGGGGCAGCAAAGAAAATCCCACCTACAAATTGCCCAACAAGGTTAGGCTCACCTGATGAATTTTTTTTTTTTTTGGGGGGGGAGGAACCATGCATGCTATTTCCTAACAAATCTAGAAAAAAACTACATTTGTCCATTAACACGTGGATAATACCTTTATCTCCAGACAGGTAGTCTTCCCAGCGGAGTTCTTCAGGGCTCTTACTCACGTAAATAGGCATGGCTGATATTGAGTTTAGCTTTATGCCATCTACTACGTGAACTGTTGTAGTATAGGCCGCAACTCTGCTTCCTCCACGCTGACTACCAAAGGCTGACTGTCCAAAATTAGAGCTTCCAAATGATGGTGTCATGGTCTCAGCTTCTGCATAATAAATTGGGACAAAGTTAATGCCAAAATAGGAAACTCTGATACTGTAAAGGAGATGGGTAGTTCCAGATAGGATGCTGCTACGATTGAATGTTGAAGTCAATTGGCCAAAGATTTCAGTCGAGAGGACAATATGTTCAAATGAATCAAAACAACATTTATTTGTGTAGGAAAAATGAACTAGATCAATTTTGTAAAAGTGAGGAAATTAACTACATCCAAATTTCTCTCTCTCCGTTCATATTTCATGTAATTTTTATGCAATTAATTCTCTCAACCACATGGAAAAAAAAATGTTACAGAATTCTACCACATTTTCACTTATGATCCTCTTAGTCTAGCACATAGGGAGAGGTGGTTAACATAAGTAAGTACCATAACTCGGAGTTTTGGAGAATGTTAGACAAAATATCCAAAAATTTATTAATTGAATGACATGGGAAAAGTACTTTGAACAACTCAACGAGATGTTAACTCTTATGTATGGAGAGATGAGTTACGCATTTGAAACTCCATATGGTATTGAATATAGTATTTATTATATTATTGGTGTCCTCTTGGTTAGTGATATTTGTATGTGAACCTCCTTTTCTAATCTTAGTTACATTTAAATAGATGTCTACGCATTTGAACTGCGTTTGCATGTATTTGATATTTGCACATTGGTTAGTGTTACTATCATCGACCAAGTACTGTAATATCTAATCATTGGTGTTATTTACATATTCTACCACACATTTGTCACATTATGCATACCATTTATATGTCAAATGAACATTTTATTTACAATATTTGGACTCTAGATTATGCATTACTATCTCTACTCAGCAAAATTGTAAGCAGAAATTCATAATTTAATATATATTTTTTAAAAACAATTGCAATATGATATATACTTTCAATGTATCAATGAAAATATCAAAGATTCCTCAAGTGTGACACATAATCCTAAGAATTGAGCTCATAACACTTCTACTAAGTGAAGAATAGAGAAAACCTTGTCCGTAATACGGTTTGTAACAAGTCATAGGTGAAGCCATCGGTTGAGCAGAGGTACTCCAACCAGGAGGTGAAGCAACTGGTTGATTAAAAGCAATCCAATCAGGAAGTATTGCAATGCCCGGAAAGCCATACGAACCTTCCAAAATGGCAGAAAAATTATAATACAAAACAACATGTGAATACATATATATAAAAGTCATGAGTTTAACAGATTAGAAAAATAATAGGAATGAAATAATCTAATTACCTGCTAATGACAGGCCAAAGTTACCTATAAGAACACCATTCGCAGTTTGCACTGGCTGAAAAGGAGCGGTGGTAGAAGGCTGCATATCACATAACTTAAAATGAAAAATGTAGCTTCATCATATGAAGAGGAGTTAACCTAAAAGAGTATGAGAACTTAAAAGACAAATAGACTATAGAAGAGATGTATGTTCCGTGCACCATGTTAATAAATACCAATGAAATTTTAAGAAAGAGGGAAAAAACGCCATTGTAAAATAATACAAAGATTAAATTATTTGACACAAACTACTAAAGTTCTAGCAAGTCTAAGGGTCACTTACAGTCATCTGACCAAAACCAGACGGGCTTTTAGCGCACACAGATTGTGTGCTTGAGAACAAATTTCCTCCAGATTGATTTCCAGTTGATGCAGTGCTGAATATGCTTAATGGACCAAAGGAGGGGGCGATAATTGGAGTGAACGAAAAAGTACTCTCTCCGAATGCAGCATTTGTCTTCCCAAAGGAGGGGGCAGTTTGCAGAGGCAACAAGGATTGACCAGTGATCGGTCCAAATAATGGGGGTGGTACAATGTTCATCGGTACTGAACCAAATCTTGATGAGATAGATGAGTAGGGTGCTCCAAAAGGAGACGAAGAGTTATTTGCTGGGAATACAGGGGCTGACAATGTTCCAAATATAGGTTGGGAAGATGTTGTCCCAGAAGAGTTTGTAGAGAATGAAAAACTAGAACTAAAGACAGAAGGAGATGATCCAAATATAGGCGAGCTTGATGCACCAAAAGGAGGTTTAGAGGTATTGGTCCCAAATCCAGAGGCTGAAGCTGTTCCAAATACACAAGGTGTAGATAATGATCTAGTCCCACAATGACATGCAGATGTCTGAAAGGGTGATGAACTGAGTGCTGGAGCAGTTGATGCTTCAAAAACAGTAGAGCCAAAGGTTGGTGTCTTAGAAGTAAACGGGTTGGAAGGGTTTGAGGACGAGAAGGGATTTGCAGATGACTGGCCAAAAGGATTTGCGAAAGATGATGGTGCAAAAACTGATGAAACGAGCCCATGAGTGCTTGATGCTCCAAAGCCTGCAGAAGCAAAGGCTGGTGTTTGGGAAACAAAAAAACTGGAAGAGGTTGAGTAGAAGGGACTCGAAGCTGGCTGACCAGATAAATATGAAGCCGTAAAGCGGTTTGACTGTGTAGCTGAGGCACCAAAGCCAATCCCACCTACAAATTGACCCACAAGGTTAGGTTCACCAGATGAAAATTTAAGAGGGGAAAAAGAAAAAATAAATAAGTAAAATAATGCATGCTATTTCCTAATAAACCTAGAAAATATACAGATTTGACCATTAACACAAGTGGATAATACCTTTATCTCCTGACAGGTAGTCCTCCCACCGGAGTTCTTCATGGCTCTTATTTTCGTAAATAGGCATAGCTGCTATTGACCCTAGCTTTACACCATCTTCTTCGTGATCTGTTTTAGTGTAGACCGCTCCTCTGTTTCCTCCATGCTGACTACCAAAGGCTGACTGTCCAAAATTAGCACTTCCAAATGATGATGTCACGGTCTCAGTTCCTGCAAAATAGATTGGGACAGTTAATACCAAAATAGGAACTCTGAGAATGTAAAGGAGGTGGTTGGTTCCAGATAAGATGCTGCTACTACTAAATTGATTGGCCAAATGTTTAAATCTAGAGAACAATAAGTTCAAATGAATCAGAAATATTTTACTTTGTAGGTAAAAACAAACAAGATCAATGGTTATAAAACTAAATAAATCAAACACACCCAAATTTAATTGAATATACCCATGGAATATGATATCAAACTTTATCACGAATTAAATATGCCCAAAGAAAAAAGTATCAAATTTTATCCTCACATGTTGCTCAATGTATTGTGATTTAGAAAAATGCAACATGATAAATTAACAAGGTCAGAAAATGACAAGTTAGTATGGATACACCGCAAAATATTGTTATATTTTGCTTTAAATTCTCACAATATTATTATGGTCAGAATATTTATATATATATATATATATATATTTAAATAGATAAATTTTATAGAAAAAATTATGGTCAGAATATATATATATATATATATATATTTTGATAAATAGATAAATTTTATAGAAAAAGAGTATCAAGAAGATACTAAAGAATACAAAAATGGGACCCCCACAGATATATCATACAACATTTTGACAAGTCCCGTTTTTATTCCACATATATATAACAAATAACCAAAACTATTTGAAAAGTAGCAAAGCTTCTCAATACCCACATACCCGTCAATCATGCCATTGCCCTTATACCTTCTCTCTCTTTTGCACATACCTATTCACTTTCATGTGTTTTTTAAGCAAAATATTATCCAATCTATGGAAAAGAAAGAAAGTGTTCCAAAACTTCAGGAACATTCTTCCGTATGATCCTATTAAGCTAGCACACGGGCAGAGGTGGTTATCATGAGTATCCATAACTTGAATTTTGGAGAATGTTATCATGGAGAAGTTTGGAAGTAAGGTTTTGAAGAGCAGCCACAACCGTTACCTAACGCCGTTACGTAAAGGGTGTGGTGGTTACCGCCACCTGTTACGGCCGCTATAGAGGTGCGACGGAAATTCACGTGTAATGGCCGTAGCGGTACCGTAACAGCCATAACGGACCGTTACACACCGTTACACCCTTTTATAATATTCTGAATAACTTCCTTTCCCCAAAACAAAAAAATAAAAACTTACAAAAAAAGAACAAATACTTAAATGATCCAAGTTCAAAGAAAAACTCTTATATGAATTGATTTTCTTTATAATTGTTTTTAATTTTTATTTCATTACATTAGCATGTAAAATAAAAAATATATAAATAGTGATTGTATTTATTTTTATAATCATTTTATTTAATATTTAATTATAAATATTTTTTATTTTGTTACTGTATTGTGTTGTCTAAAAAATATCTTTAAAAAACTTAAAAATATTTTTTATTTATGGCACAATTTTTATTTTTATAATCATTTCATTTAATGCTTAATTATAAATAATTTTATTTAGTTACCTGTAAAGTGTAGTCTAAAAAAAGCCTCAAAAATAATTTTTGTTTATGGCACAATTTTTATTTTTATAATCATTTCATTTAATAATTGTAAATATTTTTTATTCAATTAATTCAAGTATTGGTTAAAAATAATTTGTAGACATTTAAAATCACTTATTCTTAAAATCATTAACTATTGAAATAAAGTGTAAAAAACTCATTTTATAGTGATTTGAAAATATGAAATATATTGAATCATACTTAAAAATTAATAAAAATTGACCAAAATCTATTTTAAACCCTAATAAATGTGATTCTAGAAAGAAAAAAAATATATATGCGTATTGGTAAGTTTTCTTCAAATTGTGTGAAAAATAATAAAAAAATCACAGTTCTGATTACCGCAATCATTATGCTACGGCCTTTATACTCCACAACCGCAACGGCGTCACCGTAACCGCTTTTTGAAACCTTATTTGGAAGACTTATATTTAATCAATATATTCCTTAATTGAATGACATGGGTAGAGTATTTTGAATAATTCATTATTGTACTGTTTACTCTTTCATATAGAGTAATCAGTGACGCTTTTGGATATGAGCTACCTAAAACTCCAGATTGTATTGAATATAGTGTTTGTTTATTATATTATTGGTGTCCTCTTAGATTGTAATACATGTATTTGAACTTTTATTATATACACAGTTACATATGAACAGATGTAAATTTGAACCTCATTTGCATTCAGATTGTTCGAATGTAGAGTGAGATTGAGCACTGATGAGGAGATTAGGGAAGGTATTGTGGGCTTCTATGAAGCACGGGTACGGGTACGAGTACTGGTACGATACGGGTACGTCGATACTGTAAAATCCATAAAAAGTAAGGTGCGAGTACAGCTTGGTACGCTTGTAAAAAAATATTTATTTTTAATTTAGAGTAGTGTAAAAATTAATTAAATGGTTTTATTTGTTAAGATCCAACCTATAATTAACATTTAATGCCAAAAGTAAAGGTATATATCAAAATTAAATGTCAATATATTAAATAACTTACAAACTATAGTTTAATTTTAAAATCATGGTAGGCATAAAACTAAAAATAAAAAAGAAGTTTAGTGAAAGAATTTTTATCTCTGTAATAATTGAGGTACAGTATGACTTTGGTATATACTAGGTAGGTCTAGATACGCCAAAAATTAAGAAGAAAAAATTTGGGTACGTATTTCATGTACTCAGTACTTATGCAGAAGTAACCATATGAGGTACCATAAGCTAGTAAGTACCCGATACGGGGTATGACATGTTTTTCAAAATACCTGTGCTTCATAGGTGGGCTTCTATCAGAGGTTGTTTTGTTCACATAAAGGGGAGTGGAGGCCGGGGTTAGATGGGGTTCATTTTGGAGCCGTTATGTAGGATGATAGAGAGGGATTGGAGCAGGCATTCATGGGGGAAGAGGTTTTTGGGGCTTTGCAGGCTATGAGCGGTGACAAGGCTTTACGTCCGGATGGCTTTACAATGGCCTTTTTCCAACATTGCTAGAGTGTGGTGAAGTTAAATGTGTTGGCACTGGAAATGTTCAATACGGCTAGGCATAAAGTTGTCTGACCAGCGAAAACCGTCCAATCCGAACCATCCGTGCCTATGTGGACGGTTTTGCAAAATTGTTAGGGCTGGGTGCGGTTTAGGATTTTTCCTGTTTTGCGGGTTGCGGGCGGATCGCAGGTTTTACCCTCACCCGCACTCACCCGCCCACATCTGTATATAATTTTTTTTTAAATTTTAATTTAGACTATTAGCTTTTCTTATAAGTTTTGTAACTGTCTAACCCTAATCCTCTCTTCTCTCACTCACTTTAATCTGATTATCATACCTGTGGGCTCTAACATTATAACATTATAATAATATCACGCACTGATTATCATACCTGTGGGCTCTAACATTATAACATTATAATAATATCACGCACTATCTTATTTGAAATACTTATTATTCAATTAGAATTTTTTCAATTTTTTGCAAATCTAGTTATGTGATTTTTTTTTTCTATGTTAGTTTTTATTTAATTTTCATTCTATTTTTTTGTAATCCAATTTTAATGGAAGATAGTGTCGAATCTTCCGCAATAAAAAATATTTTTAAAATGGGAAAAAACAAGCCAAAAAATAAATTTTTAGAGGAAAAAACTCAATCCGCAAACCGCCCGTACATCCACGAATCCTATCTGCACAAACCGCAACCCGTATTGCGGGCAGTTGCGGGTTCAATTTTCCTTAAAGCACAGATACACGGGCGGATACAAACTGCAAACCAAACCGTCAAAAACTAATCCGCGAGTACTCCTAGTGTTTGATGCTTTCTTCAACATAGGGACGTTTGAGAGGAGTTTTAATGCGACCTTTTTAACTTTGATCTCGAAGAAAGGGGGGGTTGAAGATATTTGAGATTTGTAACCTATTAGTTTGCTTGGTAGTGTGTACAAGTTGTTAGCTAAGGTATTGGCTAATAGGCTTCGAGGTGCATTGCTAGATGTGGTGTCTGAATCTCAAAATGCATTCATAGGGGGGGTGGCAAAATTTGGATGCAGTGTTGGTGGCTAATGAGTGTGTTGACTCTCAGATCCAGCAAGGGCATCCTGGTGTGATGTGTAAGCGGGATATTGAGAAAGCCAATGATAATGTTAATTGGGAGTTTCTATTTTATGTTATGGGTCAAATGGGTTTTGGGGAGAAGTGGTGTAAGTGGATTAAGTTTTGTATATCTACTGTACGGATGTCAGTTTTGTTGAATGGTACTCTGGCAAGGTTCTTTCTGACACATCGGGGTCTTTGGCAAAGGGATCCATTGTTGCCATTATTATTTATTTTGGTTATGGAGGCTTTCACTAGATTGTTATCTAAGGCGGTGCAGAAGGGTTTGTTGGCGGGTTTTTTTGTGGGCCCTTTGAGATGGGTTTGTTGACGGTTATTGGTTACTTTGTATAGTTGGCTGGAGAGGGGGGAGGGGGATCCGGATTTGTTTGCTCTTTTAGACTTTTTAGATGATGTTATTGGTTAGGTGTTTTCAGTTGTTTTCTAGTTGATTTTGGTGTTTTCCCATATTGGGATCTTTTGTATTCTTTCGTATCATCTTGATGCTTTCTTAATAAAGTCTGATTATTTATCAAAAAAATATTTGTATTGTAGGCATCATCTAGTATTGTAAAAATTTAAACATTGGTCTTATTTACATATTTTGCAATCCACATTTGCCGCATTATGCATACCATTATGTATGCCACATATACAATTTATTAACAATTTTTCATATTTGGACTCTAGATTATGCATTATTATCTCCACCAATACTTGCAAAATTCCAAGGTTTAATATAAATATTTTTTTTCTTCAAATTATGATAAGATATATACTTGCAATATATCAATCTATGAAGCATGGATACTTCAAATAGGAAGACATATCCGTATCGTATCCATATCGGATACCGATACTCCTTGGATACTTACGGATACATATCAGATACTTATTAAAAGTATCAGATACTTCTTAATTAATTTTTCATTAATTTTGAAGTATCGGATACTTAGTTTTGAAGTATCGGATGCTCCAAGCCACATATTATCGGATACTTCTTAATTAATTTTGAAGTATCAAATGCTCCAAGTCTTATATTACTCCTTTTACGAAATTCGAATTGTATCATTTCTTACATAACATTATAATATAATAAAATTGCGAGGATAAATACAATATTTTTACAATACTTTTACAATACTTTGCTTAGTTTTTTTATAAAAATAACATAGTAAGCTAAGGTAATAGAATTCATCAAATTGACATATCTTTATTGTATCATGCATGTCCCCTATAACTACATAGAAGTAAGGATTAATAAGATAATATAACAATAGTAAAATTAAATATCAATAAATAAATAAGAAAATAAACTTGCATAAAATATTTTTAACTAGTGCAAAAGGAAAAAGCATAGAGTCAAGTTGTGGATTGTATTGATATTATAATATTAACATAGACTTGATATTGAAATGAAATATTTACAAGACCTATTGAAAATTTAAAAACTAAACTTGCTACTACCTTAAATTAATACCTAATTCTTAAAGATTAGTATTTTGCATCATAAAGTTACTGTGGTTTCTCAACATTCTTGAGCTTATGTGTAACTCACTGCTAATAATTTATTTATTTATTTTATTTTTTACAAACGTATCCTAACCATACGCGTGTCCTACTTTTTTAGATTTTGCTATATCGCCGTATCCGTATCGTATCATATCTGTACCTCGTATCCGTATCTATACTTTCTAGATATCAATGAATATATCTATATTTTTGTCCATGTGATATATCAATTTTATCTTTATTTTACTCATTATATGCGAAGAAATAATTTATACTCCACTATTTGCTCTAGAGTACCAAAATAGAGACTGAAGAGACTTTATAAAAAAATTGACAAAGCAAATATAATACCAAAATGTCTATTAATTAAAATGAGTAAAAAGAGAAGAACAATTGTTCATTATTGTATCAAATTCTTGCTGAATTGTAAATGGAACAAAGATTCCTTAATGTTGTGTTTGAATCTTGGATTTCCAGAAGGATTTGTGGGGGGAAAGGAAATAGGAAGGGAAAAGTAAATGAAATAGAAGCTACATTTTTTTTATATTTCCCTTTTCTTTTCCTTCCCCTCCACAAATCCCTCCTCAAATCCTAGATCCAAACACAGCCTCCAAACACGGCCTAACTGTTCAGAAGAACTTGGTGTATACCTGTCCATAATACTAAGAATTGAGTTCATAACACGTCTATCAAGCAAAGAAGATAAGAAAACCTTGTCTGTGATATGGATTGTAACATGTCGAAGGAGAAGTAATTGATTGACCAGAGGTAATCCAACCAGGAGGTGAAGTAACCGGTTGACCAAAAGGAATCCAAGTAGGAATTATGGCAATACCTAGAAAACCATTTGAACCTTCCAAAACGGCAACAAAAAATAAAGCCACAAGTATAATACACAACAACATATAAATAAATATACATAGAAGGAATGAAATTTAACAGGAAAAAAAATGTGAATGAAATAATCTAGGATACCTGTTACTGACTGGCTAAAGTTGCCTATAGGAACACCTGTAGTATGAGCAGTTTGAACTTGCTGAAAAGGAGCAATGGTAGAAGGCTGCATATCGCATAACTTGGAATAAAAAAGGTAGCCTCAATCATATAAAGGAAAGTTAAAACATAAGCATCTAAATTTAAACTAGGAGAAGCATGGAAAGAACTTAGAAGACAAATAGATTATAAAAGAGATGAACATCTATGCACCATGGAAATGAATACCAACAGTATTTTAAGAAACAAGAAGAAAATGCCATTACAGGTCAATAATAATGGAATGAGTTAACACCAACTAAAACTTACAATAGTCTGACTAAAACCAGCTGGGCTTGTAGGACTCCCGAACTGTGTTCTTGCGAACAAATTTCCTCCACATTCATTTCCAGTTGATGCAGTGCCGGACATGCTTGTTGGAACAAAGGAAGGAACAATACCTGGTGTGAATGAAAAAGTACTCTGTTCGAATTCATCATTTGTCTGCTTCTGAAAGGATGGTGCAACTGACTGAGACAATGGGGATTGGGCAGAGACTGATCCAAATAATGGGGTTGACATGGTATTTGTTGGTACTGATTCAAATGTAGATGAGATAGATGAGCTGGGAACACCAAAAGGCGATGGAGAGATACTAGCTCCAAATAGAGGGGCTGAGGTTGTTCCAAAAATAGGTTGGGAAGATGTTGTCCCAGATGGGTTTGTAGAGAATGAAAAACTAGAACTAAACACAGAAGGGGATGATCCAAATATAGGTGAACTTGATGCACCAAAAGGAGGTTTAGAGCTATTGGCCCCAAATCCAGAGGATGACGCTGTTCTAAATACACAAGATGTAGATGACGATATAGTCCCACAGTGGCATGCAGATGTCTGAAACGGTGATGAACTGATTGCAGGAGCAGCTGATGCTTCAAAGCCTGAGGAGAAGGGATTTGCAGGCGAATTGCCAAAAGGACTTGCAGAGGATGGTGCTGCAAAAACTGATGAACCAAATGCAGGAATAGTTGATGCACCAAAGGCTGCAGAAGCAAAGACTGGTGTCTGAGAAGCAAATAAATTGTAAGAGGTTGCGGAGGAGAAGGGACTTGAGGCAGGCTGACCAGATAATAATGAAGTAAAGGCATTTGGCTGTCTAGCCCAAGCAGCAAAGCCAGTCCCACCTACAAATTGACCAATAGGGTTAGGCCGACCTGATGAAAAAAGCAAGGGGAAAAAAAGATGATGCAAAAATAGATGGGGAAGAAGTTAACACCAAAACCTTGATTCAGTTTAGCTCCAAAGTCTCTGTTAGAATATTGTATAAATATAGTGTTTGCTTTCGGCTTTAGACTAGCTTTAGCATAGCAGACTTCATTATATTATTAATTGTATAGTGTCCTTTCTCTCTCTATAAAGAGAGCCTTCATCCCTTTGTAAATCACACAACATAATACAAACATTTCAGAGTCTCTCTCTCACTCTATAGCTTCTCTCACTCTCTCAAACTAATCTTTCAGTCTCAAACTACTATTAAGATCAGGACTCAGGATAATTTTGACAATCTCCCATATATTTTCATTATATTACATATCTCAAATAATCATTATAATAACCAACCCCACATATTTGAAAAGTAAAATCAAACCTTCCCACTTCCCACATACTCCATCACACCCTCACCCTTACATTCCTTCTCTCTTGTACATCCTTGTTCATGTTTCATGTATTTTTTATTCAAGAATTCTTTCAATCATATGGAGATAAGGGTAAAATTTCCAGAATTCTGTACGCCCCCAAGCTTCTCTCTTATGATCCTATTAGGCTGACACATGGTAGAGCTGGTTATCATGAGTATCCATAACTTAGGGTTTGGAGAGTGTAATCATGGAGAAGTTGGAGAGACAATTAGAATTGATTGACAAATCTCTTAATAAGATGTCATGGGTAGAGTATTTCGAACAACTCACTAACGAGGTTGATATACTTTTGGGTTTGGCAACATAAAACTCCATATGGTATTGAATATAGTTTTTGTTTATATATTATCGCCTTCGGTGTCCTCTTGGGTTGCTATATATGTATTTGAACTAAATTTGTATACATAGTTACATTTGAATAAATGTGCGTCTAGGTATTTGAGCTTTCTTTGCGTGTATTTTATGTTTGCACATTGGTTAGTGTTGATATCTGAAGTGTGGTAATATTTTAATCATTGGTGTTATTTGCATATTCTGTAGCACAATTTGCCACATTATGCATACATTTTTACATAACATTTACACTCTACTATATTTGGACTCTAGATTATGCATTACTATCTCTACTTACAGATTTATTTGTTGCATTTGACCTTCAATATCATGATTGTAATTCATCGAGCTTCATTGTAATATCATATATGAATAAAATAAATATATAAAAGTTCTAAAATTATATTTAAAGTTTCATCATCTAATATGAATAATCTTTTTGGCCTTGTGATATATCCTTTTATCAATCTTTACTCAAATTATATGCCAAGAAATAATTGATACTATTTCCTCTAGAATACAAAAAAAGAAGCACACTTGTTGGTTATTGTAACTGCTTCTTGTTGAGATTTAGTTGTAAAAATGAACTAGAATTGGAGAAAAATTCTCATTAATCACCATGTCCCTTATTTAGCTATATTGAGTGGTCAACATTTTATGTTCATAATGTTAAACAACAATCACAAGCAGATGGGATTATTTTTTCTTGGAAATAAACAGAATTTCCTTTTAATAATAGTAATTATAATAACTTTACATGATAAGCATGTCAATTCAATTTGAGAAACAGAACATGAAATAACAGATTCATGAAAAGAATGTATCAAGTCCCTGTTAGAAATTGGCACTAAAATTTCATACAAGTTATAGTAAAAATAGAATAACACAATGCTTATTATAAAACAGTGAAATGAAGAAAAATAAATGTTAAAATTAAAACAGTATAAATAATAACATGTAATTTGAGTAAGGAAATAGAATAAAAAAATTGAGATGTGAGACTAAGAAGTATGTAGTCACTATCATAATGTTGTTTGTTTCTCCTTACATGAAAGTACAGACAGAATGCAACAGTCAACTCAAGTGTCCACAACAACCTTCCTCATCCAGCGTTCCACCAAAGGATATGAACAAGTCACCAATAAAAGTTATCAAAAATATAGATAGTAAAATACTCATAAGAAAGACTAAAGTTTTCATGGTTGTGTCTTAACTGCTGGCAAAAAAGACTCCCAATTACAGGAGGAAGAGTAGGGGTAGGCAAACATCCAATCGACCCGCCTAACCCGTCCAACCCAACTCAACTCGACCTCAAATGGGTGATTTCGATGCAATAGGCGGACAAATGCAGGTCTAGCAATTTCAAAAAGTTGGGTTTCAGTCGGGTGGAGATATACAAGCGTCAATTCGCAAAATCCGACTGACCGTATGAAATTAAGAATTCTTCATAAATGTTGATATATATACATATTATTTATTTGTTCAATAAAAAGTATTGAAACTTCAAAATGACACTTTTCACTTTTTAGAAAAAGCAAAAACCTCACTCTTCATAGTATTTATCAATAAAAAAAATTAAAAAATAAAAAACTCACTCTTCATTGTTCAGTAAAAAATTAGGGTTTTTTTTTTTTGGTGCGTGCAAAATTAGGATTTTTTCAAACCGCCAAACCAATCCGCATCCATCCGCCCAACCAACTCAGTCAATTTCGAAACCATGAGTGGTCAAAAGTAGGATGGCGGATGGCATATAACCGGCTCAAACCGTACCCACTAGCACTCCTAAAGAAGAGTATGATGTCTCATTCATATGTGCCCTGATATAACAGTCATACAGTTATTCTTCATATAATCTTGTATTGAATATTGAATTTAATTTTTTTTTTTAAAAACAAACAACATAATAAATGTAATAGCATTAACATATAGTAATTGAATTTGTTTTTGTTTTTTCCTTTGGGTTTCAAAGATAACTGAATTTACATTAATTTTATACTGATCACAATTATGAAACAATTGAATAATAATTTTTTTAATTAAAATTCTCCGACAATCCAAAAAAAAAAAAAAAACTCCAGACAATCACAGAACAATAAATACAAGCATAATAAATCAGAATAAAAACGAAATTGGAAGAGCAATCATTAACACAAAATGAAGCAGTGAATCTTCAATGCTGGGTACACATACACAGATACATATATATAGACATTCATAGGGTATGGAATATGAGGAACTTACGATCAGTGAGGCTGGCCATGTTTAGTCGAACCCAATTCTGAATTTTAGCTACACCAACAACTTCCCGACAAAAGCAATTCAGAGTATTTTATTTACAACTCTCAGAATTACTTATATATAACTGCTTTCTTGATCGTATCAGTAGCTTAACGTTGACGCCAGTCGCCAATGTAGCGTATAATAATTATAGGGAGTGCGCGGGTCGGGTTTGAAGGGGGTTTGTAGTTGTTATTTTAGTAGGTTATTTTAGTTTTTGACTATTTTAGTAGGTTAAAATTTTTGTGTTTGGAAAGATGATTGAATTTTTTTATGATTAAATGTGATATTTGTGAGAGAAAAAATAAAATAATTATAAATTTGATGTGATATTTTATCTTATTAACTATTTTAACTTATTTTATCTTTTTGTGATTTTTAGCCTAAATCAAGCTATTTAGTCATACAGTTATTCTTCATATAACTTGTGTCCTTCCTGCGTTCTGGGTGGCGGGGCGGGTACGGATCGGGAGATTAGTTAATTTCATAAGAAAAAATTTATAAAAAAAATTATAAATAATATAGTATATTATGGATAATTTTATAAAATGTAAGATAAAAATAATAAATAAAAAATAATATTTTGTGTTTTAAGTATAATATTTTAATATTTTAATTTTATTATAATAAAAAAATTAAATTATATATGTAAATATATTTAATAAATAAATATAATTAGAATCGAAGTTGAATAGAACAAGGTAGGGGAAGCAAAACTATGTGTAATTTTGTAAAATAATATAATTATTAAAAGTTTAGGGATCAAAATATAATAATAATAATAATAATAGATATAATAATAAAATAAATAATTAATTTTCTGTTTGTATGTGATAATATATAATTTAATTAAGAATTAATTAATTTATATAGTTATATTAAATATTGAGTAAAAGGTAATTATCTTAAATATACGAAGATAAGAACGAATCTATAAAATTATAGTCGAATCTGCGGATTGAATTGGGGAGGAACGCGTGTTGACTGAAGAGTGGGTTCACCTCCGTACATAGGGGGGTGATTCGGCTGAAAGAAGAAAAAAGAAAAGAAGAAACAGAAAGAAAAGAAAGAAGAAAAGAGAAAGAGAGAAAAGAAAGAGAGGAAAAGAAGAGAGAAAAAATGGAAGGCAAAAGGGTCTTTGATAGTAAAAAGAAAGAGTAAGGTATTAAAATTAAGGTGAGTTATATTATATCTTGAGTCACCAAAATGTATGTTGCGTATGTTTTGACTTACTAAAATTCGTTTTACACAAGTTATGTTTTTAATAAAAGTTATGTTTTATAAAGGTTTCAGTTACGTGGTTTTATTTCTGAATCCTATTTGCTCAAAAGGAAACCTATGGATATGTTTGTTTTATTTTTAAAGAATATTTGACTATAACCTTATAAATAATTATGTTTTGTAAGTACCACCACGGGAGTCCCACGCCTTGGGAGACTTAAATAACTATTGGCTTCTATTTGACCACTTTGTAGTCCTCTGTTTGTCATGGATCCATTGACCTCTGTTCTGTGCAGACCAAAGTGCTGTGCAGAACTAAGTGCTACACTATTGTGAGAGCCACCTCTAGAATCCGTACGAGCCATCTCTTGAATCCGTATCTCTGTTCTGTGCGGACCAAAGTGCTGTGCGGAGCTAAATGCTACACTATTGTGGGAGCCACCTCTTGAATCCGTACCTCTGTTCTGACTGTCACTTTTGTGACCTCTGTTCTGTACCGTGGTTATGGTTATTTATTTACATAATATCTGTATTTCAGTTTCTGCTACTTAAATGATTTCTACTACTCAAATGATTTGTTTATGTAAATGTTTTGGCAACATAACTATCTATGGTTATTTCGTGTCCCTTATACTCTTGGTATAATATTTCTCACTCTGTCATGTGCTTATAGTTGTTTACCAATTTTCAAGAAATAATACAATTCAGAAATAGCTTTTTGGTTGGGTTGCGGAATAGACACACACAGTATTTTCATGATATTATTTATATGTAAATATCGGCCTTTTTGGTCAATATATTTTGTAATAAAAATAGAAACTCCAATGATTATTTTGATACCCTTACTGAAATATTTCTTCCGCTTGCGTTTATTTATTTGTTTAAGAATTGGCCGTAAGTAATTTCAGTTACTGACCATCACGATGCTTAACCCTTAGGTACGAGGAGCGGATCGTGACACCGTCTCTACCCTACTTTCTCAATGGGATGAGATGCGACGAGGCAGGAGACGCTGGGGCAGAGAGTGACAAGAGAATACTACTATCCTTATTTTAAATTATTTATTTTGTAAAGCACTATGTATCATATTATTTTTAAAGAAACATTAGGTTCATTTTCTACTCGTAATATCTCTATTTTATCACATTTATTTTAAAAAAAATTGATAGCAAATATATATATTTTTTTAAAAATTGTTTTAAAAAAAATTATAAAATGGAGATGACATGATTATCAAATCGACCTAAATTTTTAATTGATAATATACAAAGTGCTCTACAAAATGAACAATTTGAATCGTTGAAACTAAACTTGTGGTGAGTCTTATGGGCCCGGATAGCTCCCTCCAATACAGATTTTGGACTAGAGAAAAGCAGGTTCAGTTATAATTAGGTTGGGTTTAAATTTAAACTTGGGACAATAATTTGGGATTGTTAGATTCACAACAAATCTTGATTTAATTATTCAAACTATTTATTTTGTAAACTTTTGTATATATTATCTATGAGAAAATTAGATAAATTGAGTAATCATAACATTTTATTTTATTATGTTTGTTTTTAAATATATATATATATATATATATATATTAGGGGTGGGCGCGGGTCAGTTGCGGCCACAAAACCTTCAATCCGCCATCCGTCCGCCAGATTGGCGGATTGGAAAAAATCAATCCGCATCCGTCCACCAATCCGGCGGATGTGGATTGAGCGGATTGGCGGTTTGGCGGATGGATGCGAATTGGTTTGGCGGTTTGGAATTTTATAAATTTTTAACATAGTTCAACTTGTGCACTTCCTCAAAAAAAAGAGAGAATATTACAGTCAATGACTTAAAAAAGAATTACAATTACTGCATGCCTCATCTAACGAAAAAAAGTTTGAAACTTTAGAATATCACAATCACTGCATGTCTCATTCACATATTACAATCACAGCATGCCTCATCCATATAAAATATTACAATCTGTAATTCTTAAAATATAAAAACAATTCAAACCACCAAAACCATGAATAGAGCAATAGTAGAGATTATATGTCTCTGTATTGTTACATTTATATATGTTTTTGAAAATAAAAACCAACCAACGTATATCATATTTTCTATTTATTACTTTTAGAGTTAGATTTAAAAATAAAAAACTATAGATAAATAATACGTTTATTTTTTTCAATTCAAAAAATATATTCAAGTTAAAAAAAAAATTTCAACAGAATATTTGAACTCTTTTTCAATTGAAAAAACAAACAAAATATTTAAACAAATTGAAAACACAAAGTTTTAAAAATTACTAAGGGTGCTCGCGGTTTGGCGGTTCGGTTGCGGCCAAAGGAACCTTAAATCCGCCATCCGTCCGCCAAATTGGCGGATTGAAGAAAATCAATCCGCAACCGTCCGCTCGTCATCACGCATCCCTCCAAAATGCGGCGGATCGGTTCGGTTCGGTCGGTTTTGGCGGATCGGTATATCCGCTGCTCACCCCTAATATATATTGTATTTTTAACAACACATTTTTCTTTAATTTTATAAGACAAATGCGATCAAATAAAAAGGTTAGGATTATCGGATCAATCTAATTTTTTTCTATAAATAATATATAATTTCGATTATTAAAATAGAACATGTGATAGATTTTATAGACTTGAACAATCTTGTCAAATTCAAATTTAAAATTGAGATAAATTATTATAATTTTGATTATTAGTAGCGCACATAGACTAATTAATTATCTCATGCCAACGCATTTATACATATGCTAACGGTTTGCACACTCGATCCGTGTATAACTCAGAAAAAATTAATAATATATAAAAACAATGGCAACACATAATATGTATATCTCACGTAGTAAAGGCTTTCTTTCCTAAAATCATAATCTTAGTTTGAAGTCATGTCCTCCTCTTAATATAATTTTTACATTAACACTAACTATGAGAATATTTTGAAAAAACTCAAAATATGAAACGTTTTGTGTCAACACCATCTCAAGGTTTCACATATATAACAGTGTATAAATAGATAGGTAGATAGATAGGTAGATAGATAGATCTTTGGGTAAAAAATCTGACCCAATCTAAACCCGAGGATTTATGGATCTCACATCATGATTTGTATTTTAAGTTTGGAAAAAATACCATAAATTTCACAATTATGACATAATTAAATTAATTTATTTTTAAATAAGGCTAAATGGCTGGAACTATTGCATAATGTGAATATATAATAATAAAATATGAATATATATATATATATATTTAAATGAAAAAAATGACAATATTAGTTTACTTACGTGACTAACGAATTATTGATAAAAATTGATATTATGTAAATTAAAATTGTAAGAGAACCCAATATAATTATTTCAAAATTATAAAGTTTACTTACCATCTCTAAATCTCAAGAAGATTAGTGTAAATTACAAAATTTTAATTTATTTTATAGAAGCTCTAAAATTATGGGCATTGAAATCGGAAGTCCATTTATGAATATTTTGCGCCATTAAGCCCAAGCCCTAATCTTTTTGGACTACAAGGACACAACTTATCCAAAAGAACAATTATTTGTTGAAGTTAACTTATCTGTTTATCTATAAAAATTCACCAAACTAACTATCTATTAAAATGTAACACATGTCACTCATTCAACAACTTATCTATTGAATATCACACATTTTTCTACCTCATCACCACAGCCTGTTGTCGCCGTTGGCGACTTTTCCAGCCAATTTTTTGGCACCAATGACTTTCTGGCATGTCCTTATTACCAAATAAGCTTTTATCTTGGTTCTAATACCTTGTACCCCTTTGAGATAGGCTTTTCACCAATTTTCTTTAAAATTATTCAATAATTGAAATTTTCTAATTTCAATATACTTATTAATAAAACAAACTTTATTTTTCAAT